AGGATTACTCTATGTTGGTCAGGCTGGTCTTGAACTCCCAATCTCAGGTGAGCCACCTGCCTCAGCTTCCCAAGGTGCTGAGATTACAGGCGTGAGCCACTGCACCTGGCCACTCTATTTCACTTTTTAAAAGCCAGCGGAAAACCACTCAATGATACGAAAATCCACTAATAAGTGGCTGTCCACAGTCTGTAAACATTAGCTTAGAAAATCTCCAAGATACCAGTACTTCTAGTACTGACAATTTATGTCATTAACAAAGCTGTGATCCTGTTAGAGAGTGGCAGAGACCCCACCCCCCTCCTGTCCCCACAGTGGGGTGTCCTACCTGAATCACCCGACTAGGAAACAAATTCTCTGCACATCTTTGCCATTGAGACGCCTACTCCGCAAGAGCCAGGGTGTGGAGAGGAGCACGCCAAATACTGCTTTTTCTAGAGCTCTGCACTTGCCTTACCCCATGCCTAATCCCAGGGAGATTTGGGGCAAGGGGCAGCGATGGTGGGGTACACTTGGCTGGGTTAAAACAAACAGCAAAAATAAATAAATACATAAAATTCAGAAGAAACAAAGCTCTCTCCCTGCCTCTGTGTGAATTTGGGTCACACCCATCATGCCCAGATGGCCCATGGCTTCCATTTCTAAGAGTTCAGAGAGACTTGCTTCCCCACACCCCACAGTGATGCAGAAAAATGTCCCTCTGGACTCCCACAGTGGTGAATCGGAAATGTCTTTGCGCTTTGCACAGCAAAGGGTTTTTACAGGGTTTGGGCCAAGGGAATACGTGGTAGCCATCAAGGGGTGGAAGCCCGTGAGACCCACAGGTTAAAACCTGCATGAAGTCACACATATTATCATGTGAAGATAAGACACACCGTCATGATGAATTGAAAACCCAGAATACAGGCTGCGCACAGTGGCTCTCGTCTATAATCCCAGCCCTTTGGGAGGCTGAGGTGGGAGGATCACTTGAGCCCAGGAGTTCGAGACCAGCCTGGGCAACACACAGAGACTTTGTCTCTATTTTTTCAAAAACAAAACAAAACATCAACAGTAACAAACCAGGACATAAACAGCTCAGCAAACAAGCAAACAAAAACGTGAATAAAATGCCACAATAAGAACAGGGGTCGCCAGCCTTCACATGTCATCAGCTCATTTTTACAAGGGACACGTACTTCTTTCGTAATCTGGGGACAAAAACAGCTTTAAAAGCCTGCCATCCAGAGGCACATTATCAAGTCTGGCCAAGGGGGTGCCAGATAAACGCACTTACTAGCTTATGCCATGGTGTTAATGCCAGTTTGAACAGACAGGACCTGAAAATGTGCAGACACACTCCTCGATGTGCACCCCTCATCTTTCGGGACCCTCGGTCCTTGCTTCTCCTGGCCATGTCACCATGGGCGCCACAGAAACACCTGGTAATGCAGAGAGAAAGGGGATCTTGGAGGAGGAGGGTGCTCTGTTTTGTTTTCCAAGATTCATCCTGAAAATCATTCGAGACTAACTCCAGAGCCTCGGGGTCTGGTCCTGACTGTGATCTCAGGCAAGTTTCGTCTCTTCCCCGGGCCTTGGTCTCCCCGTTGTCAAATAAGCAGAGTGGATTTTCTGATGGCTAAGATCCCTCTGGCCTCGATACTCTAAGATCTAAAGTGACCAGCGTTCAGGTTTAAGGGCTGCTAAGTCTGATAAAACCAGGGCAAGAGAGAATGTGGACACTTTAGGATGCTCCACCCAAGTAAACACCACAGATAGAAGGTGAGGACCAGCCAGCAGTCTTGAAATGGGAGCTGAGGGGAGGAGGAGTCGAGGGTCAGGGGAGCGTGTGTCCTGGTACCAGGAAACCAAACAAATGGCCTGCTTCTTTCTCAGGAGCGAGAGCTCCCAGGAGGGGTGGCCATGGCAGCATGCGCTCAATCCAGGGGAACAGAGAATAAAACATTCCCAGGGTAGGCTGGGCCACCTGTCCAGGCTGGGGGGGAGCTCAACTCTAGGAAGCGACTTGAAAGACTAAGATATTGAGAAATCTGAGGCCCAGACAGTCTTGGTCCTGAATGTGGCCAGGCCTCCTGGGTTAATGCAAAGGACCCTAGAAGGGAGTCAGGAGGGCTGGGTTCCAGTCCCAGCTCTGCTGCTGAGCTGCTGCATGTCCTTGGGTAAATCCCTTCCCCTGAGTTTTGTTTGTCAAATGAGAATGATGTCTCTGATGACATGAAGGTCTCCTCCACCTGAGACATTTTAGAATCTCCCTGTCCCCTCCAAGCAGACGGAGACTTAAAGCAAGGAGAAGGATATCCTCACAGCCTTCACTGCAAAGAGGATTCCTCCAAGCTTCAGCGCAGAAACAAAAGTGAAAGCAAAAGTCAGCAGCCAGAAGCATTCGCATCCCGTCAGTAGCCCCCCATGCCACATCCCCAGTCAGAAGGCAACTGAGCTTCTGAAACTTTCCTGGCACCGATGGAGACAACGCTTCTCATTCCCTTGACTCCCACCTTAATTTGGGACTGGGGGAAGATAATCCATGCTAAAGCTCCTCACACTATGACCTCTTCCAGCCCAAGAGGTCTGAGGGGTTTATAGCCAGCCCTGCAGAGGGAGGGAGGAACACTGACCAGAAATACATCCTCCTAAAACGGGAGCCCCAGAAGCTCCAGCTGCCCTCTGCCTCCAGCCTTCCCATCCCTCACGCAGACAGAGAAGCCCCCAGGCCTCTGCTATCTGGAGCCAGAGAGCTGGAAAGCTGCAGGTGGAGGGGCTGGAGCCCTGCCAGTATCTCACACTTGCTCACTACTGGCAGAAGACCGGGCTGGCAGTTTGGGCCTCACATAGAACCCCAGAATCTCACCCTTGACTAGCAGTCATGGGTGAGGGCCATATATTACTCTCTGCTTCCTGTCTGGGCCTCCCATCCAGCTCCCCCATTCATTCCCACCACCCCACCAACCCACAGGGCAGCCTCTCTCTTAGTAGCCTTCTCTAGAATCCTCGCCAACTCTCAGGCAGCCAGGATTATCTTCTTAACATATGGATGGGATCAGACCTTAAGAAGATAATGTCTTCTTATCTTCTGCTTAGAGAACTTGAATGAAAGGGACATCTTTCTCCGTAGTGTTCATCTAGGACACCTAGGACAGTGCCTGGCCCACAGAAGGTGCTCAGTCAACATCTGTTGAATGATTCCAAGATAGTCCCCACCTGCCCAGTCCAGTTTATTCCAGACCTTCCACCGCCTGAGCACCTTCACCAGCCCAGCACAGCCCATGCACTCTCCTATCTCCGTGCCTTTGCCTGTGCTGTTCCATCGGCCCAGCCACCCTTCCTGCCCTGTCCCCTGGGGAGACTAGTTTCCTGATGAATATTCCAATAATCTTTTCTTCGCCGGACCTCCTGAGTTAGTTCCTTTCTTCTGTTCTCGCCTAAGCCCTGTGATGTAACTTACTATACAGTACCTCATGGGCTAGGTATGAATACCCCAGCTTGGCCTTGGAGGTTCTCATCCCATTTTACAGACGAAGAAACTGAGGCTCAGAGAGATCAGGTCACACAGCCAGCAAGTGGTGTGACCTGACTGTATGGCCAATTCTGTAACACTTGTCATGAGTATCTCTGACTCCGTCACTAGGCTGGTGGCTCCCTGAGGCCCCTGTGCCCTGGGTCACTGGGGCAGGCCCCAGACACCCCATCAGGGAGCTGTCAGCTCAGACGCCATGAGGAGCAGATGCGCCACCAGCCTCCTCTCTTTCTCTTTCTTTGGCCTTTTCTCCCAGTCTGGGGGTACCTCTCTCAATTGGTGGAGGGAGATATTTGGAGGGACAGGGGCGCTGTCCTAATAGGTCAGGATTTACGGATTGTGAAATCTGTTCACGGTCCCAGGGCCCACAGTTCCCCAGACAAGCTGTTCTCCAGGTAACCCATTCAAAAGGAAAGCCAGAAGCCAGCCCTAGAGGGGCAATCCCGCCACCCGCTGCCCTACCTCCGCAGGCTCGTCCCCCGGCCTCGCCCACCTCATCCCCGCCCACCCGCTCCAGCAGCCCGGGGTTCCCAGCACCCAGATCTCCTGCGCTGCTGGGAAGGACCCGCAGCCCCACGCACGGTCACAAACACCTCGGAGCGCTGTGCAGGGCACCCCACGGCTGCTCCCTGGGGAAACCGTGCGAGGATCCAGGTCTCTGGCACCCATCCCTGGTTGGGAAAGAGACCATCATCCTGTAATGCAGACCTGGCGCGCCGGGCCACACACCTCCCGATTGTGCGCTGACTTGAGATCTGATTTGGATTCTGTTCTCCCCCTAAGTCTGGTAACCTAACTTACTGCCGAGTGCTTGCTGGGTATGAATGCCCCGACGCACCCTGGGACGTTATCATGTCCCCTCCACAGCTGAAGAAACCCATGCGCTCAGGGAGGAAGGTCTCGAGTTTCAATCCACTTTGCTCACGTCCGATTCTTTAACCCCGTGTTTATTGGTAGCGAAACACACACACACACACACACACACACACACACACACACACAGAAATACCAATCTAAATCCCTAAAAGGACACACAGACAAACACGAATCTAAATCCCTAAAAGGCCACGACTTCCGTAGAGGAGTAAGAGATGCGGGAGCAAAGCGCCAAGGTAGTTTCCCGGGACCTACTGGGAAGTTCTGCTCCTAACCACGCACTGAAGGCGCCTCTGGCGAGGCCAAGGGTTCAAAGCGCCCGGGAGGAGGGCACCTGTCCCTGCCAACAGGGGGCCCCCAAGACCAGCTGCCTTTCCCAGGCCAGCTGGCCGGGCGCGGTGCCCGGAAGGCGGGAGTGTCCCGCACCGGCGGGGCGCGGTCGCCGAGGGTGCGGGGTGCGGAGTCCTCCCGGTGGTCGACCCCAGGCGGGAAGCGCTCGGCGGACGGAAGGGCGACTCAGACGGCTCTCGGCCCCCTTCTCCGGCCCTGAGGGGAACCCACAGCACTCCGCGGGGCGCGGCGGGTGCCAGGCGCGGCGGCTCGGACTTACCCAGGAGGCAGCGGGTCCGGCTCCGTCTCGGCCGGGCGGCCCGGGGCTGGGGGCTTCGTGACCCCCGCGGCGCCCCGGCCGGCCTCCTCCGGGGGCGCGATCGCGGGGCTGGAGTTTGGGGGATTCTCAGCCGAGGGAACGAGGTGGCGGAGAGAGCGCACTGCCAGCTCGGGGAACGGGATGGGGACGCAGGAAGCGCGGCTCGGGAGCGCTGGCGTGCGGCAGGGTGGGACCGCGGGAGGCGGAGGGCGGCGCCGGCCGGGAGCTGCCTCCAGCCTGGAGAAGTACCGCCCACCGGCCGACCCTCCCTCGCGGCCCTCGGCACCACCCCCCAGCCCTAGGCGCGGGATCGCAGCTGCGCAGGGCGGGTGCCCACTCCCCAGCGTCCGCCGGGGGAGTGCGCAGTGCGGCCTGGGGGCTGAACCTAAGTTCTCCCCCACGAGTGGGACGAGAGGGGGTCGGGAGAAAATAGAGCCCTGATGCCCCCTCCTCCCTAGGGCTCGGGGAATCGGTGTGCCGGCGTGAGTGCGCGCGCGCTCGTGTGTGTGACGGGTGGTGGTCGGTGGATGTCTTAAGCCAGGAGTCCCAGATTTTAGAGGTTTAAGGAGAGCTGGGAGACCCGTTTCCTTCCCAGACCAGGCGGAGACGCAGAGGTACAGCTCCACCAGCCGCCCCGCGGCGCCTTTACCTGGCGGGACACTCACCTCTCCCCCTTCCTGGGCTGGTGCCCGGCGAGGTGAGTGACAGGCAGAGGTAGAGAAGGAGGAAGCGAGGTTTTTAAAAACCAAGTCAGCTCACGCCCTCGGCCAGGGTCCCCACCCGCGGCCTGGTCCCCAGGGCGCCCTCGGGATCTCACGCCTGAGTCTCGGCCCAGGTGGGGCCCATTCCGGGTTCCTGCGCGCCCGCACTGGATGGGTGCGCGTTGCACCGGAGCCGCCCTTGCTGAGGGCTCATCCCCAGGTTTGCCGAGAGCTTTCTCGGCAAGGCACCGGCTGGCGTTCTCCCACCCCGCGAGTGGCAGGCAGGCAGCCAGTCTCTGCTCGGATCCCTGGAGGCCGCCAGCTGCTGCCGAGTCTTGGCTCAGGGGAGGGCAAACCCGAACTCGGCGCGGGCGTCTCTTACCCGGGGCTCTACCTCCGCCCCTTGGAGATTTACCATCGGAACCGCGTGGCTGTGGCGCCCGAAGTAGGGTGGGCTAGGCTTAGCCAGACCACAAAAAAAAGTGGATTCTAAACACAGAGGGAAAAGCCAGCCCCATTCCCTCTCTCAATCTTAGATTTTTTTTTTTTTTTTTTTTAATTCCGAGAGAGGTCAAGCCGGGTCCCCTTTTTGGGTGAGCGTCCAGCCCTTTGAAGTCCAAACGCCGAGAAGCCGATAGGCAGCTGGCAGGCGTCGCAGGATCGAGCCAAGGACTGAAGGCGCCTCCTACCGGGAATCCACCTCCGCCGGACGAATATAGGCTACAGGCAAGCTCACTTCCAAAGGCGGAATTCATGGGTACATAAGGTGTCCGCGTGTGTATACCTGCTGAGTTGTAACATGTGGCTATCCCCGCCCCCATTCTGGCTTCTTAACTTGCACGCTAACAGTTCGACAGAACCTTGGCGTCCACAAAAAGGCAAGTTTGGGTCTGTCTTATGATTTGGGGGGTGGGAAGGCATTTGGGGAAACAGTCTCCATGTCTATAACAGCAACTGCTATTCCTCACATTCTCACTACGAACTAGGCATGGGGTTACCCCCCACATCCCCTGAACCATCTCATTTAAGCCTCAGAACCTGGGAGGCAGTTATTGGTTATGCCCACTTTACAGAAGAGAAAGCTGAGGTTTCAGGAGGTGAGATCATTTTGCCCAGTGAAAACACAGCTGGGAAGTATCAGGATCTAGACCCAAGTTGGTCCACTCTAGAGCTTCTGCTCTCCCTGCCATAGGATAATTCCTCCTGTCTACACATACTCTCCACCCTGAGAGAACATTCACCTTGCCTGGCTGCCTGCAAATGCTTAATAAATATTTGTTGGATGAATGAAAGCCCCAAATAATAACCCATGATTTTAGTGAAAGGGGAGAACCCTTTGTGTAGGCAGGTACATATAATAATATGCTCCCATTTATGAGCTGTGTGTATTCATCCCAAAGTTTAGACAGTGCATGTGGGGACCTTCCCAGGCTCCAGAGGAGGGACAGGAAACAGTCACGTAGCTCTCAGATAAGACCAAGAATCTGGTTTTCATTTGACTCTGCAAGACAGACTTTGGAGAGGCCTGGGGGTGGGGGTGGGGGTGGGGGGTGATGTTAGTGTCAGAACAGCTTCCCCAGCTCCTAATCTGAAGACAGAAGGCTGCTGTACTTTTCCACGCCAGGATCATCCTAGACCCGCCCCACTCCGCTGCAGACCCAACTGGGCAGGTCTTGTTTATCACAGGATATCATCTTCAGAGTGTTCCATTTAAGCAGGCTCACCCTGGCTGATATGGGGAGAGGCTGACGAAATTCTCAGCCAAAGCTGAGGCCCAGGCAAAACTGAAGAAGCTACCAAAGAAAGCGTGTTTCTCCTGATCATCCTCCCCTCCACAGCCCTCTCCCTCTGCATGGTTAGTTTCTCTGAATCTTCCCAGGCTCTCCATGGCCCATTGAGCCTCACCTAAGTTAACTGCCAACTCCCTCCATTAAGTGTCAGCTGACAAGGGCCTGAGCTGTATCCTTGGAGGAAAGATCCAAAGAAATGAATCTCAAATGGTAGAGTTTCTATTATAATAGGCAGTGAGGAAGATGCCAGTTACCATTGACTGAATCCTGTGTTTCACGTGAGCTGCATACATTGTGTTATTTGATCCCCAAAACAGCCCTAGAAGGAAGATTCTATTATTCCAGTTTTTCAGATGAGGCTGTTAAGACTCAGAGAAGTTAGGTACCTGCATCTGCTAGCAAGTGATAAAGTACTGGTCGGGCTCAGTGGCTCATGCTTGTAATCCCAGCACTTTGGGAGGCCGAGGCAGGTGGATCACTTGAGGCCGGGAGTTTGAGACCAGCCTGACCAACATGGAGAAACCCCGTCTCTACTAAAAAAACAAAATTAGCTGGGTGTGGCGGCACATGCCTGTAATCCTAGCTACTTGGGAGGCTGAGGAAGGAGAATCGCTTGAACCCAGGAGGTGGAGGTTGCGGTGAGCCGAGATTGTGCCATTGCACACTAGCTGGGCCATAAGAGTGAGACTCCATCTCAAAAAAAAAAAAAAGAGTATTTGAATGTGGGGCCTTTGCAGGGCCCTTGCTCTAAATCACTCTGCTAGTAACCCCCTTTTGTGATAAGCAGAATAATGGCTGCCCAAAGATGTTCACAACCTAATCCCCAGAACTGGTTACTTTACGTGCAAAAGAGACTTTGCAGATGGGATCAAGTTAAGGATATTGGGACCGAGAGGCTATCGTTAATTATCCTGGTGAGTCCAATGTTGTCACAAGGTTTCCTACAGAGGGAGGCGTGATGATAGAAGTAGAGATCAGAATGATACAGTTTCTGAACAAGGGTCAGTAGCCAAGGAATGTGGGCAGTCTCTAGGAGCTAAAAAAGGAAAGGAATGGAGCCTCAGCCAGAGCACCCAGCAGCTCAGCTCTGCAGATCCGTTTTGGACATCAGACCTCCAGAACTGTAAGAAGAGAGTAAATTGTGGTGTTCTAAGCCATGACATTTGGGATAATTTGTCGCAGCAGCAGGAGGAAACTAATACATCCTGCAAACTCAGTCACCTAGCCAGCTGTTCATTTCACCTGCCTTTTTGGTTGACTGTGCACTGTAAGCCTCTGAAGAGGAACCACGACGTAGCCTACATCATGGATTTAGAAAGAAGACAGGATTCCGTCACCTTAGTCCTTGGTTTCTGAATCCTCTGCCATTTGTGGGCTGTGTGGCCTTGGGGAGATGTCTTGTCCTCTCTGAGCCTCAGCTTCCTCGTGTAAAAACAGAGATGCTAATACCTATGTAGCAGGACTGACTCAGGGGTCAGGTGAACTAGTAGGTGACAACGTGCCCAGTGTGGTTTGAACATGAGTTGTTGGGAGCATTAGCCTGTCTAGTTCTGAAAGCCTGACTTCCAAGAGGAGAGGATGCTGTTCTGGGAATTCCCGAGGCACTACATTTTTATTCTTTCTGGCTGAATGGGTAAATAATGCCAGTGTTTTAAAGTATTTGACTGTCCCTGGCCAGAACCCCAGTCTGTCATGCCTGATGTTCCAGGCACACTAATGAAAGTGAGGCTAGAAAGTCAGATCTTAGAAATAGATCATCAAGCAGAGCAACTCACACATGTGCTCAGGAATATACATCCAAGAGTTTTTGTTGCTGCTTAGTTGTAATGGTAAAAAATGGTCACCAGCCTCAATGCCCAGCTCTAGGAGATATGCTAAGGAAATCGTGGTGTAGTTTCAGGCTGGCACACTATGAAGTTGCAACAAAGAATGAGGAAGAGCTATCTGACGTGGAAGAATGTCCAAGATGTATCTTTCACCGAGAAAGGCAAGGCACTAAATATGATACTACACAAACAACTTTTCTTTTTTTGAGATGGAGTCTCACTCTGCCTAGGCTAGAGTGCAGTGGTGCTATTTCAGTTCACTGCAATGTCCGCCTTCTGGGTTCAATCGATTTTCCTGCCTCAGCCTCCCGAGTAGCTGGGATTATAGGTGCATGCCACCATGCCCAGCTGATTTTTTGTATTTTTAGTAGAGATGGAGTTTCACCATGTTGGCCAGGCTGGTCTCGAACTTCTGACCTCAAGTGATCCACCCACCTTGCCTCCCAAAGTGCTGGGATTACAGGCATGAGCCACCATGCCTGGCTCACAAATGACTATTTATTTATTTAGAGACAGAGTTTCACTTTTGTTGCCAGGCTAGCGTGCAACCGCCTGATCTCAGCCACTGCAATCTCCACCTTCCCAGGTTCAAGGAATTCTGCTGTCTCAGTCTCCCGAGTAGCTGTGGTTACAGGCATGTGCCACCACGCCTTGCTAATCTTGTATTTTTAGCAGAGACATGGTTTCTCCATGTTGGTCAGGTTGGTCTCGAACTCCCAACCTCAGGTGATCTGTCCGCCTCGGCCTCCCAAAGTGCTGGGATTACAGATGTGAGCCACTTCACCTGGGACAAACGACTTTTTAAAAAGATGTAGACACGTGTATATTTGATTATGCACAGAAAGACTAGGGGAAGAATCAAACCAAATAGGTTACCCT